TTGGATTATTTTGATGTATTTATTGAAAAATGACCATATATCTGTGGTCTATTTCTGTTCTTTGTATTCTGCTTTATTAGTCTAATGTGTTGATATTTACACTAATGTCATACCATCTTGAATACTGTATTAAGTCTCAAAGTCAGCTTGGTAAGTCCTCTAAATTTATTTCATGTTTTTATTTCTATTTATTTAATGTCTCATTTTCTTCTGAAATTTCTTCAATTTGATTGTCAGTGTGCTAATTCATTTATCAAGTGTATCCATTGTACTATTTACACCATTTTTTTAACTTCATCTACATTTCTCAAGACTGTTATTTGTGCCTTTTTCCTTGTCTTTTTTCATATTGTTAATATCTAGCACTGTCTTTTAGTTTTAAGAATTGTTTTCTAGAACCTCCAGAAAAAAATACTACTTTTTAAAAATTTTTTATTTGAGACGGATCGCACTGTTGCCCAAGCTGGAGTATAGTGGCACAATCACAGCTCACTGCAGCTTTGACCTCCCAGGTACAAGTGATTCTCTTGCCTCAGCCTCCAAAGCAGCTGGGACCACAGATATGTGCCACTTTGCCAGGCTAATTTTTAACAAATTTTTTGTAGAGACAGAGTCTCCCTATGTTGCCCAGGCTGGTCTTGATCTCCCAGCCTCAAATTGGCCTCTCCCAGACCACATTGGCCTCCCAAAGTGCTGGGATTACAGGCATGAGCCACCATGCCTGGCTTCTCCTTTATTTTTGTGTTTTTTTTGGGGGGGGGGCTAATTTTTTGGATACATTTATTCTAATATACCTGCTTCTGCTTGATTTTGTAATCAGTGTGTTTTGTTTTGTTTTGTTTTTTAATGACTGGCCTTCTCAAATGTCTTATGATTTTGGCCCTGGAACACATTTTTCCATGAAGGTATAAGTTATCATGTAAAGTGATGCTTTTGGGTGAAGAACAATGTCAGCCTCTTTGAGTTCATGGTATTGGGGGGATGGGAGAGACTCTGATGTCACAAAACCACTATCACTTTCTGCCTCATATATAGCTGCTTTGTCAATTTTTCACTCTTTGCTCCCCTGAGTGAAGAGCACCAGGAGGCTCTATTAGTCTATTCTTGTGTTGCTATAAAGAAATACCTGAGTGTGGATAATTTTAAAAGAAAAGAGATTTATTTTAGCTCACAGTTCTGCAGGCTGTACAGGAAGTGTGGTGCTGGCATTTGCTTTTGGTGAGGGCCTGAGGCAGCTTGCCATCTTGGTGGAAGGCAAAGAGGGAGCCAGTGCATCACATGACAAGGGCGGAGCAAGAGAAAAGGGGACGTTCCAGACTTCTTTGAACAACCAGATCTCATGTGAACTAACTAGCAAAAACTCACTGATCACCAAGGGGAGAGTGTTAAACCCTTCATGAAAGACCTGCCCCCATGATCCAATCATCTCCTCGCAGGCCCCTCTTCCAACACTGGGAATCATATTTCAACATGAGATTTGGAGAGGACAAATATCCAAACCATATCATTCCTTAGCAACCTTGGTTGCTTATTGGAATCAAATGAGGAGCTTTAAAAAAAAATAGTGATGTTGATTCTCATTCCCAGACATTTAATTGTTGTAATTTTGCAGCCTAGATCTAGTACTTTTTTTTGGTTTCACTGTTTGAAAATAATTTCGTAATTTGTAGGAGGTTGCAAAAATATACAGAGAAGTTGATGTATACCCTCCACTCACTTTCCCACAGTGATTACATTTTATATAACTGTAGTACAAGATCAAAGCCAGAAAATTGTCATTGGTACAATGTGTGTGCATAGCTCTGCATAGTTCTGTCATTTTATCACAATGTAGTTTCATGTAACAACCACCACATTCAAGACACAAAAAGTCTATTAGCACAAGAATATCCCTCATGCTTCTCGTTTATAGTCACATCTCTTCCCCCATCACAATCCCTAAATCGACACTAATCTGTTTTCCAACTCTGCAAGTTTGTAATTTCAAGAATGTTCTAGAAATAGAATCATACAGATATGATTTTCGAGATTGGCTTGAAAACTCAGAATAATGCCATTGAGATCCAGCCAAGTATGAAATTTTGCTACTTTTTAATGTTGAGTAACATTTTATAGTATGAATGTACTATAATTTGTTCAGCTATTAACCTGGTGATGGACATTTTGATTGCTTCCAGGTTTTGGCTGTTGAAAATAAGGTAGACCATATGCATTTAATATAATTATTGGTAGGGCTTAATCCTCCATGTTATTTTTTGGGGTGTTTTTTGTTTATTTCTTTCCTCTGATACTCATGTCTCTATTTTTGTTTTCCTGCCTTTTCATAAATTACTTGACATTTTTTAGAATCCCATTTTTTATATCTATAGTATTTTTGTAGTATTTTGAGTATCTATAGATTTTTCAGTGGTTGTTCTGTGAATTGCACTTAACCACGATCCTCTGGTGTCACATTTTATTACTTTGAATAAAGTATAGATCTTGCCTCCTTTTAAGTCCTTTTATCCTCCCCCATTTATAATTGTCTTAATAGATACAGATTAAAACTTCTTTAGTCTGGGATTTCATCTTTTATTAGCTATTATTTTGTTGAATATTTTCTTTACTCTTCCCTACTGGGATTTTGATTAGGTAAATATTGGACCTTCTTATACTGTCTTTTATGTCTGTTAGCCTCTGTTTTGTATTTTTTCATTGTTTTATCTGTGCTCTCATATAAGACCTCTACTTTTTTTCCTACAGTTTACCAGTTATCTCTTTGGCAGTGTCTATTCTGTGTTCTTAACTTGTCCACTGAGTTTTGTAATTTTTAAATTTTTGATATTAGTTTAATTTTGTGAAGTTCTATTTGATTCTTTTCCAAATTTATTGGTTATTTTTTCTTTACATATACGATTATTTTATGTCTTTGTATTTAAACACATGTATTTATTTTTTAAATCAATTTTTTTTATTATACTTTAAATTCTGGGGGTACATGTGCAGAATGTAAAGGTTTGTTACTTAGGTATACACGTGCCATGGTGGCTTACTATACCCATCAACCCATCATCTACATTAGATATTTCTCCTAATGCTATCTCTCCCCTAGTCCCCCCACCTGCCAATAGGCCCCAGTGTCTGATGTTCCCCTCCCTGTGTGTATGTGTTCTCATTGTTCTACTCCCACTTATGAGTGAGAACATGCACTGTTTGGTTTTCTGTTCTTGTGTTAGTTTGATGAGAATGATGGTTTCCAGCTTCATCCATGTCCCTGCAAAGGACATGAACTCATCCTTTTTTATGGCTACATAGTATTCCATGGTGTATAATGTGCCACATTTTCTTTATCCAGTCTGTCATTGATGGGCATTTGGGTTGGTTCCAGGTCTTTGTTATTGGGTACAGTGCTGCAATAAACATATGTGTGCATGTGTCTTTATAGTAGGATGATTTATACTCCTTTGGGTATATACCCAGTAATGGGATTGCTGGGTCACATGGTATTTCTATTTCTAGATCCTTGAGGAATCACCACACTCTCTTCCACAATGGTTGAATATACACTCCCACCAACAGTGTAAAAGTGTTCCTATTTCTCCACATCCTCTCCAGCATCTGTTGTTTCCTGACTTATTAATGATCGCCATTCTAACTGGCATGAGATGGTATCTCAGTGCGGTTTTGCTTTGCATTTTTTTTTTTTTTTGAGTCTCATTCTGTCACCCAGGCTGGAATGCAATGGTACAATCTTGACTCACCACGACTTCTGCCTCCCAGGTTGAAGTGATTCTCCTGCCTCAGCCTCCTGAGTAGGTGGGATAATAGACATGTACCACCACACCCAGCTAATTTTTATATTTTTACTAGAGACAGGGTTTCACCATGTTGATCAGGCTGGTCTCAAACTCCTGACCTTAGGTGATCTGCCGGTCTTGGCCTCCCAAAGTTCTACCATGGTGGGATGAGCCACTATGCCCAGCCTGATTTGCTTTTCTCTAATGACCAGTGATGATGAGTTTTTTTTCTTCATGTTTGTTGGCTGCATTAATGTCTTCTTTTGAGAAGTATGTATTCATAGCCTTTGCCCTCTTTTTGATGGGGTTGTTTGTTTTTTTTTCTTGTAAATTAGTTTGCGTTCTTTGTAGATTCTGGATGTTAGCCCTTTGTCAATGGATAGATTGAGAAAATTTTCTTCCATTCTCTAGCTTGCCTGTTCACTCTGATGATAGTTTCTTTTGCTGTAAACACATGTATTTTTAAGTTTCTATTTGATAGTGCTGTAGTCTGAAGTTCTTAGGGATCTCATTTAGTTTGTGTGTCTCTTGGCTCCCACTAAGGTTGGATTGTTTCTTAATGTGTTTTTAAATTTTGTATTATGAGATCATTTTCTGTAGGCTTTTGTCTGGAGTTTAGTTCTCTGCTTGGGTTGACAGCATGCCTCTAGAGTTTTGTCAGGAGTTCCTGATTATATGAATCAGGAATCACATTTTATTTTGATGTCTTAGATTGAGATTAAGACTCTCTGTTGCTATTATTTTCCTGAGCGTATCAACAATTGACAAGGTGTTTTTCTCTAGTCTGATCTTCTCACTAATTGTATATCTCTCCATATTTACTTGGGACACCTTAGTTCTATTCTTCATGCTGTAGACATCTCTATGGCTTCATCTTATTGTCTGAATTAAAACATAAGACCTTAGACTATTGAGACAGACAAACCCCAGCCATAGCTAATATAACAGTTCCTAAAATGATTGCTCTGATTTGGCCTTAGGGAACTTAGGGAAGGTACTATTGACAAAATATAACCTAATAGTAGCTTATATTGGAGTGATGGATTGAAGATCCCTTCTTTTCCTTTATTTTTTAAACTTCCTGTTTTTTTAATGAAAATATTAAAACTGTATTAAAATATTAAGAGGAAATAAGTATACTAGTGTCCTTAAAAGTTTTTAGATTTAAACACACTACAAGATGACAAAACAAAAATTTCAGAATTCGTTTTATTATATTTGTAGACTGTTATATGAAAACACAGAAAAAGATCTTTCTGATACTCAGCGACACCTTGCTAAGAAGAAATATGAGCTACAGCTTACTCAGGAGAAAATTATGTGCTTGGATGAAAAAATTGGTGAGTTTTTTTTTCTCCTGATATTTCTTTTATTTTTTCTTAAGTCTGGTAGCAAATATATGTTTTCTTCTCTTTAGTATAATATGGATAAACTTGGAAACAAACCCTTAACTAAGTTTATGAATAAAAAAGAATAGAAAAATGGATTTTTCTTTGACAGCAAAAATTTTTTAGACTTAGCACCCGTAAGTACTTAGTGATAAGTTAAAATTTGTCAGTGAAGTAATAGCTAAACTAAGCAGCAACAGTTTGTCAACATATGATGATAACTTTTAAATTTGAAACATTTTGTGTACTATTGTAGCTTGTCCATAGCTGCTATAATGAAATATAGTACCTATTACTTTTGGTGGAAAGTATACATATGTTTGGCTATGTCTACTGTATTACTGGGGTTTATAGAGAAAGTTACTTTTTTAAAGTCTCCTCTTTATGTTTCTTATTTGTGATTAGTATGACAATATGGTCATAACTTAATCTTATAAGGTATGATTTTGGTCAGGGCTATAAAAGAACCTATTTTAAAGCAGAGGAAATATTGTTAACACTTGCTATTATATAGTTCAAGAATGTTTGGTATAAACAACTAGGTAGGTGGTGATAGTATTTATCAAACCAGGAAATATTAAAACAGAAATATAAAAGCTAATATTGAAGGAGAACTCTCATTTGGATATTTTTAAGTCCAAATAAAGATCTAAGGTAAGTAGTTGAATATTTAAGTTTGTGTCTCAGAAGAGAAAGATACATATTTGGGACAAATCAGCATATAAATGATATTTAAAACCATGAAATTACCTAGGGAAATGTAGAGAATGAGGAGAAGAGGATCCAGGACTGAGTAAGAAGAAGCCAAAGAAGTAGGAAGAAGACCCAGAAGTTAGTGTTATTTTGGAAGGCCAGAAAGCAAAGTGTTTTTTAAAGGGAGGGTATGATCAATTGTCAGACACTTGTGAGAAGTGAAATAAATGAGGCTAAAAAAATTATTGATTGGATTTGGCACATTGGAAGGTTTTGTAACACCAAAAAAAGTTTGAATGAAGTGTTGGTTGTGGAACATAGAGTGGGTTGGGACATAAATGGGAAGTGAAGTGCAGACAGAAAATAAGTCTCAAGTTTGGCTATTTAAGGGTAGCAAGAAAATAGGGCAATAGTTTGAGGGGGCTGTTAGCTTGAATTTTTTTTAACCTAGGAGATACTAGAGCTGTTTTAGAGATGTATTGATTGTTTGATTGCCAGTGGGAGTGAACTCAGATATCAGGATACACAAAACGTGGGTTGCCTTAAAGGCAATACTGCCTGCAAGAAGAGACATGGTGTATTCTCCAGTGCTATATAGATCATGGCCTTGGCATATGAAAATATGGTATTACCTCCCTTAGCACTGCTCCGGGATGGCCCTCACAAGTATTAACCTAATAGGGATTAACCAACAAGTCTAGTCTAACAGAGCTTTCCTTGTAGAGCTCTAGATCAGTGGTTCTCAAACTGTTATCTGTGTCAGAATCACCTTGAGAGCTAATAAAGATCATTGGAGCCAGCATCCTTGAAGTATGCGAGGACCAGAGCTTTTGTGTCTCTATCAGTTTCTGTAGGTAAATCTAATACCTTAGACCCCCTACTCTAGATGTTTCTCTAGGTAAATCTAATACCGAACCCCTATCCTCTATCAGTTTCTGTAGGTAAATATAGTACCTTAGAACCTCTACTCTAGATGAGTGGTTCTCACTCCTCATTATACATTAGAATCACTGGGGAAAGAAGAGCTTTTAAAACATAAATTGTTGTGCCCACCCCTAGAATTTCTGATTCAGTAGGTCTGGAGTGGAGGTCTAAGAATGTATGTTTCCCAGGTGACGCTGATAGTGCTGGTTGAGAAACCACAATTTGAAAACTATTCTTCTATACTAATTATTCAGGCCTTCAACATTGAGATTGACTTGCAAGAGTTCTCACAAATTGTATCATACTTCCTGGGATGATTTTTTTCCTAGGAGTTTTTATAACACTACTTTAGAAATTTCAGAATATTAGAAGACATTTGATTTTAAAGATGACTTAATTCAATATTTTATTAAGATATGTTACTTACCAACTTCAGGCTAGAGGGAGGGGAGGGGAAACTAGAGAGAAGAAATGCCACAGATTGTTTCACTATTCCACTTATTTCACCCGCTCTTCCCCTACCATACGTATACATCTACTTTGAGAGCAATGTAGAGGTTCCCTTTACTATTCTGATTCAGTGGTAATGTGCTTTTGTGTTTATGCATCATTTAGAGTGATGTGATTCATTGTAGTTTTTAATTTAAAAATTTTTAAATTTGGGATATAGTACTCATTTTTAGTAATTAAATATAATATATATTAGAAGTAAGGAGACCTTACTTCAAAAAGTATGATAATCTGCTTGAAATAGAAAAAAGATTTTATTTTGATTAAAATAACCCTTTTATGACTACATATTTAGATAATTTTACAAGGCAAAATATTGCGCAGCGAGAAGAAATCAGCATTCTTGGTGCAACACTCAATGATCTGGCTAAAGAAAAGGAATGCCTGCAAGCATGTTTGGATAAAAAATCTGAGAATATTGCATCCCTTGGAGAGAGTTTGGCAATGAAAGTATGTTCTGAGAACTGTGGTTTATAAGAAATGTTTAAATAAAATGTTAAATATTAAACTATGGTTTAAAAGAACTAGAATCTGAATAAAATATTCAGATTTTCTCAAATTCTTTTCTAGAGAGTTGGTTCAAAATCTGACTTTGAAATATTTTAAGATAGCCTAAGGATGTATGTGTACAAATCCCATAGCTAATACTTTAAATTGATTTTTCTGTTATGAATTAACTGATAAAAACTCATTTAAATATCAAAATATAAAGCATGATAATAAAGTAGTGAGACTAATTTCTTCTTAAAAGCATATTTTCAGGTTGTTAACCTTGGGAGACAATATGTCTGTTTCATTAAAACTGCCTTTTTGTAATTGCGTTTAGAACTAGGAGTACGTTTTTACATCATCCTCAGGCTTTGAGAATAGATTATGTAGGGCTGGTGAATAAAGCTAGATGATAACCTCCATCCCACATTTTTTTTTGTTTTTGAAAAAAGATGTTGCCAACAAGGTAGAGAGATATTGATATTATATTCTAGCTTATAAATTGATTCTGAAAGCATTTCCTAAGCTGTTTTCACAAATATCTTAAGCAAAAGCAGCATCATTGGAATAAGGGCCTTTCCTGCTCTAAGGTAACTGATTTGTTAATTTATGTCTCCACCCATCCATTCATTCTTTAAACAAACATTTGTTGACATGTACCAGGTGTTATGTTAGAAGTTGAGGTTGAAGCTGGGCGTGGTGGCTCATGCCTTTAATCCCAGCATTTTGGGAAGCGGGAGGATCACTTGAGTTCAGGAGTTCAAGACCAGTCTGAGCAATATGGTGAAACCCTGTCTCTATGAAAAATACAAAAATTAACTGAACATGGTGGCACATGTCTGTAGTCCCAGCTACTTGGGAGGCTGAGGCAGGAATATTGTTTGAGCCTGGGAGGTGGAGGTTGCAGTGAGCTGAGATTGCGCCATCCTACTCCAGCCTGCATGACAGAGCAAGACTTTGTCTCAAAAAAAAAAGGGGGCGGGGGGTGAATGATCTGCCTTCTCAAAGCCTGTAGTGTAATAAGGAGAGAAATAAAGATACTATTATGATAGAATGTATTAAGTTGGAGTTTGGCAAAAACACACCTGATTCACCCTGGGAATTGGGTTAAGGGAGGAGGAAGGTCTGGAAAACCTTCCTGGACTACCCTGAAAAATGACTAGTTAGTAGTCAGGAGAATATTTAGGGGAAGAAGACAGTGAGAAAGGGTGATCCAGACAGGTTGAACAGCTTAAGTGAGAGTCCAGTGGCTTTCATGAGAGAATTTCATAAGACTTCCTGATAGTTTAGTATGACCAGAGAACAGGTTGTAGAGAGATGTAGGAGGGCAAAGAAAAGATGGGATAGGCAGACAGTCCTTTCTCTGCTGTGATGCTCGTTGCATACTCTGTGTGCGTGTGTGTGTGTGTGTATGTGTGTGTGTGTGTGTATTCTATATCTACATATATGAATAACATATAGATATATGAAGAAATGGGATAGATAAGCAAAAAATCATGAAAGCACATGTGATGTTGAATGTGAGCTCTATCATTATGGATATAGAGGGTCACTGAAATAATGATGATGAAATGTTACAATTAGGTCTTTATAACAAACATTCTGGCATTTGTAAATTCATGTAAAAGATGGATTATAGAGAAAGTAGAATAGTGACAGGGACACTAGTTAAGAGAACAGTGTTGAGGCCTATATTAGGATAGTAGGAGTATCAATGAGAGAAATAGATCTATTAAGGAAGTAAAATTGACAAGGTGTTGTTTCTTGCTTAAGAATCACATGGATAGTTCCTATGTATGGAGGAAGAAACAGAAACTAGAACAGGCTTAGAAAGGAAAGTTATTTGCTGGGCGCCATGGCTCACGCCTGTAATCTCAGCACTTTGGGAGGCCAAGGTGGGTGGATCATGAGGTCAAGAGATCAAGACCATCCTGGCCAACATGGTGAAACCCCGTTTCTACTAAAAATACAAAAATTATCTGGGTGTGGTAGCGCACACCTGTAGTCCCAACTACTAGGGAGTCTGAGGCAGAAGAATTGCTTGAACCTGGGAGGCAGAGGTTGCAGTGAGCCAAGATTGGGTCACTGCACTCCAACATGGTGACAGAGCAAGACTCCGTCTCAAAAAAAAAAAAGGAAAGTTACTGGCATGTTGAGTTTGAATTTTTTTTTCGAGATATGTAGATGAAATATTCAAAGGCTCTTGGATTTTTAGGTTTAGAGGAAAATTGAATTAACAGATTTGGGAATTACGAACATAATTGAGGTCATCAAAGGGCATGAGATAGTAAATACTTGTGGAAAATGCTGGCTCATTATTTTTGAAATTTTAGTTTTTTTTAGGTGGAATTTTGCTTCTCATTATATTTAAAACATTTTCAAAACACTAACATTTAGAAACAAAATTCTTCACATCTTTCAAAATCTCATTTTCTTGTGCTATATCTAATATTTCACATTTTTCCATTCTGCTAACTCTACCAGTGTTATCTTTCCTTCACAAGGAATACTGAGTTACAAGTCTACTTCAGAATCAAGAACTTCATATAAGACTTTATGAAAGTAAGCACATCCATCCTCTGTACGGAAAGTAACTTGTAAGGCAGTGTTAGGCAATCAAAAGAGGAAATATTTTCTACAATGATATTTCAGAGCTAAACTAACAAAGGTCACTCATTGAAAACTGTTTATATGGAGATTACAGAAATAAATTAGTGTGGAAAAATCTACATTATAGTTAATAAAGTGATTTTTTTCTGGTATTCATGGTTTAAAAAAATGTTTTACTACTCACTACCAATTAAAATTAGAAAATTCAATAGCAAATTCATAGATTTTTGGGTAAGAAAAGCCAGAATTATTTGAATAAAGTTATAGTTTGTTTATTTTTTCTAAATATACTTAGCTCCATCTGTCCAGACTGAATTTTGACAGTTAACGTGAATCCACATCCCTAGTTGGACAACATATGAGGTTAAACAAGGAATATTAAATATTATTTTAAAAATTGCTAAACATTGAAGTTGTACAAGGAATATATCTTAGAACATACTGAGGTTGCACAAGGAATGATGGTACATTTGAGAAATGGTGGTTTTAGGGTCTTATTAAGAGAAAAATAGGCTAAGAAGATATATTATTGGATTCAATCCAGAAATTTTGTTGCCTTGGATACTTTACAATGTTTCTAGTGAATCTTTTTCTTTGAGATGCACTTACGTTGATAAAAGGAAGCCCTTTTTTAGGCTTATGAAACGTATTTTAAGATTGAGTGAGGAACTTTCAAAAGCACTATTTTAAGTTTTCAGAATTTGTTTAGAAATGTATTAAATTATATTTCAAAAACATGTAAACCTTCCATTTTAAGCAGTATTTTGTCTTTTAGTTTTTCCTTTGTTGGCTTGTCGTTCTTGAAGGGGTTTAACTTTTTTTTTTTTTTAAATGGCTATTTTAACAACACAGCAGTACTGCCAGTTGTGGAATTTGTACCATTCTATGAAAAAGCAGAATGGGAAACTGTAACTAAAAATACCCCAGAGAAGAGCACATGAATAAAGGAAGATAGCATGCACACACACAGTCAAACACACGCAAGTGTGTGCAAAACTAACAGTAAAGAGAACAACAGAATTGGTTGGAAAATATAGGTTTAAGTTTTAAAAAATATTTTTACTTGGTTACTTAAGATTTGAAAATTCAGAGGGCAAGGTGAAATCTAGTTATTACTTAGTGAAATAATTGTCTTACTTTTTTAGGGATAATGTTAGCTGTAATTATCTGTTTATAGTTGGACTAGTTCAGGCTCAATGGAAGTTTTAAAAAGAGGTGTAAGAATGGTATTAGGGCATTAAGATATTCAAACCCATTTCTGCCTTGACTGACTCCACTAATTCTACTCCCTTACCTCACCTTTGAAAAAGGAGAATACAGTTTATTTTTCTTATCCTTTCTCTAGGCCTAATGCTTATCTCCTTATTAGCTCATACCTAAATATCAGTAGTATACTTTTAAAAATAATTGTATTGGAACAGCTTTTTGAAGAGTCTGTTGCTGGCTAATATAAATAATATACTTAATCAAAATTATTCTTAAAAACGAAATTTAGTTATATATGATTGACTTCTCTGGGTTTTATAGCATAAAGAATGTGAGCAAGCAAACCAGTTCTAATCCCAGCATAGAATACCAGTACTCCAATGCCAAATCATTAGTTTTCCTCCAAAAACAGGTGGTTATGGGGTTCTTGTGTTGCTAGGTGAATGCACAAAATATCTTTTAACAAAGAATTTGATTACTGATCTCATATAATTACACCTAAGTATACTCTTTACTTTAATGGACATAATCTATTTTTACCCAGTGTAAATATTCACATTGATATACTAGGTTTTAAAGTGTGGAAAAGAATAGGACATACATGTTTAAAACCAAATGGAAACCTAAAGGAAAGCAGATTTTTTTTGTTAATTCAGTTTTAACAGAAATAACAACTTAAGATAATTTTTTATTTAATACTTATATTACTTTTCAAGGAAAAGACCATTTCAGGCATGAAGAATATCATTGCTGAGATGGAACAGGCGTCAAGGTAAATCAGTCATTCAACAAATATTTGAGCACTTATGGAGGGGGCAAATACCATGTTGGGTCCAAAGATAGTAAGAAACAAGGGGCTTAGTGATATGTATAAGGTGCTAACGCTCTCATCAAAGAGGGGCCTGAGTCTGTCTAGGGAACTAAAAGAGGGGATGGTGTTTGCCATGTAAAATAAGGAGAAGGGAAGGGCATTCAAAGTAGAAAGAATAGCAAAGTACCACAGATCATGTTCACAAGCCTCTTGATCTACAAGTAGGTGAGTGTTGTTGAAATCTAGACAGTGAGGGGAGAAGTGAAGGGAGGAGGCTAAATAGGCAGGCAGAGGCTTGTGTTATAGACAAATGAGTATTAGTTATATCCTTTTGGCATTAAGAAGTCATTAAAGAATTCTGAGGAGATTTTTGTGTCAGAAAGATAACCAAGCAGAAGAGGTGATGATAAATCTGGGGTTTAAGAGTTGTGGGACAGAAGGAGTGAGGTGCTTTTATATTAAGGGGAGACAATAGGAAAACTCCAAGTTTCTGGCCAGGGACAAATACTGAACATGAAGAAAGTATGAGGAGAAAAGGTGATTTTACCTCTGAATTTGAAGAACCTTTGGGACCTTATTGTAGACATGTCTAGTAAGCAGTGAAATATAAGCCTGGGGTATAATAGGAGCTAAGGCTGCAGATAATTATTTTGGAGTCATTGGGTATAGATGGGGTTGGGAACTGTGGATATGAATATTGTTTGTCTAAGAGAAGGGCTAGAGGGAGAAGAATTGGGAGGCTAGGACTTGAGCCCTGGAAAGCATTAATTTTTAAGCATGCAGAAGAAGAAGAATATGTAAAGGAGACAACCCTAACAAAAAGAGGTAGGACGAAAGCCTTCCTAATACTTAATGTCAGAAGTTTTGAAATACTTGGCAGATCATTGACTATTATGTATATTTAGTATCCTTTTCATAGTGAAATGATGGCAACATAGAGTAACTCTAATGCACTGTCTTTCCAGTATTTATTCCTATAAATTCAAACGTGTTTCAAATCTCTCCAAATGTTTTCATACTAACTGTCCATCTTATGTCTTGTGAGAATTGGTTGCCCTGTTTCAGTAAAATGTCTCTTCTTATGTACTCTTTGATTTGTGAAATAGACAGTCTACTGAGGCCCTAATTATGTGTGAACAAGACATTTCCAGAATGCGTCGGCAATTGGATGAGAAAAATGATGAACTGGCCCAGATCGCCAGTGAAAGAGATATCTTGGCTCATGACAATGACAATCTCCAAGAACAGTTTGGTAAAGCTAAACAAGAAAACCAGGTACACTTGTTCCTAGAATCATTTTCTCCAAGGAAAAAAATATGAATTTCTTCTGAGGAACAGCCCTTATTTCATTTTGTAAAGAGTTCAGACACTGGAACTAGACTTTTTAAAAAAATATAACAAAATAGGCCACATAATTTTTATTTTATTTATTTTATTATTATTATTATTATTATTATTTGAGACTGAGTTTCGCTCTTGTTACCCAGGCTGGAGTGCAATGGCGCGATCTCGGCTCACCGCAACCTCCTCCTCCTGGGTTCAGGCAATTCTCCTGCCTCAGCCTCCTGAGTAGCTAAGATTACAGGCACATGCCACCGTGCCCAGCTAATTTTTTTTGTACTTTTAATAGAGACGGGGTTTCACCATGTTGACCAGGACGGTCTCGATCTCTTGACCTTGTGATCCACCCGTCTCAGCCTCCCAAACTCCTGGGATTACAGGCGTGAGCCACCGTGCCCGGCCGGCCACATAATTTTTAAATGGAATTCTTAGGCATAAAGGATTAAATATTAAAGAAAAGAGAGAACAGGGCTATATTTGTATTAAACGTTAGTACTTTTTACTGAAGGATAAATATTTGAATAAATCAACAAACGAGAATAAAAGCCTTGATAAACCTTAGAAGAATATATATTTTTTAATGGACTACGTATTATTCTGTTTTAAGTATGACTGTATGGACTGTGACTTGTGTTTTGGTCCTCATTAGCACTGTGATTGTCTTTAGGAAAATTCCTCTTATAATTACTCTTTTCCCTAAGGCAATATATTTAAGTCTAACCCACAGTTCTCATTTTCAATAATATTTATTTTAACTTGAACATTTAAAAATCCTATTTGGAAAATTCCATCCCTTCTCAGAATTTTTTAGTCCAAATGATTTTCCCCACTTTGATATCACTTATAGTGCATTTAGTTTGCATCATGAAAGTCTATATTCTTTAACTGTTAGATTATTAATTTGCTTAAACAGCTATAAAGATGTAATGCTTTGTTAATCATAAAAAGTTATCTGGGATGTTAAAGTACTCTGTTTAAAAGTTAATTAATAATGGAATCCTGGAATAAAAAAAGGACATTATTTTAAAATGAAGGAAATTTGAATAAAGTGTGAACTTTAGATAATGTATCGCTATAGGTTTATTAATTGTGATATATGTACCATACTAATGTAAAATGTTAACAATAGAAGTGCTCTTTGTACTGTGTTTACAACTTTTCTGTAAATCTAATACTATTCTAAAATAAAGTTTATTTAAAAAATTAACGAATAGCAATAAAAACCAAAAGATGAGAATTTATAGGGTCTGCCTTTGTGTACTCTTTACAGTTAGAGCATATGGGCTAAAGGTGAATATATCTTACTTATGAAAACCTAGAAATTTAGTTTCTGTTTTAGAAATAGAAGCTTATTATAGAAAGTCCTTTTGTAAACAAAAAGTTAAGAAAGTTTTAAAAAGCCCTCAAGTTTTTAACACCCAGTTGGTCACTGTTACATTTGACATGTTTTTTTTATTGCTATTCAGTACACTTAAAATTTTTAACACTATTTTTATACACACTTTCTAATGTAGTAGGATAAAATCACGTATCACTTTATATCATGCATTTTTCTATGTGAAGTGGCAGTAGAGTTGAGTAAGATTCATATAGGTTGAATCTCGCTGTCTGCTGTGTGATCATATAAACCAACCTCTTTGAATCTCAGTGTATCATCTGTAAAAATGGATAGTAAATGAGACTATACCTGGAAAATACTTACATACTGTCCAATACATCACTCAATAAATATTTTCTAGCTATTGTTAGCTTACTGTAATATTACAAGCACTTTCCTGCCTTGTTCAAACTTTGTAATCTTTCTTTAATAAACAGAAGAAAACTATTGTCATAACAATTTACATATGTTCAAGAGTAGTTTTTTTCCTTCATTATGGTCATAGGCCCAAGGTAGAAGAGAGGTCTCTCTCTCTGGACCATAGGTTAAGAACTAGTATAGCAGAAAACTAGAAAGTGGAAACTTTAAAAATTTTTATCCTTGATACCACAATTTTTAACAAATTGGGATAATGAGGTATTTTTGTGTTTTAGCATGATTTTTTTCACTTAACATAGGTGAACATTTTCTTGTATTATTAAAAATCCATTCCAAATGTTTCTCATAAATAATGTAATATTTCATTATGTGGTTATGCCACTATGTAGATATACTATTATTTAGTGCACGATTCCTTAATGGGAATAAATATTGTCAGTGTAACAAAATGCTTTAATGACAGTATCTCATTAAATTTTATTAGATTTCATTTCAGACTGAATCACAGCATGTGAGTTTTCTTTTTAATTATTATTATTCTTTTTGTAGAAATGGGTTCCCACTATGTTGCTCAGGCTGGTCTCAAATTCTTAGGCGCAAGTGATCCTCTCGAAGTGCCAGGTGGCCAGGAATGAGCCACCACACCCAGCTGAGGTTTCTAATTTAAATTAAAAAAAAAGTAAATGGACATTTTCAAATATATTGAATCCCCATGTGCCATCTCCCACCCTCAACAATAGTTAACATTTTTGTCTTTGTTTTTATAAGCATTTAAAAATGGTCTCTTGATACACCAGATACATGATCACAGATTTGCTCTCTGCGAATCTACATTTACTCCAACAGTACATGGAAACGCCCATTCTTTGCCATAGCTGAATAGCTTTAAATCTTTATGAATTTGATAAGCAGAATAGTAATTCATTGTTTCAAAGTAGCATATCTTTGATTGCTAGTTTAGTTTTTTTCAGGTCTTACCTACTTATGCTTCCTTTTTTTGAATTGCTTGTTTGGGTCATTTGCCCACTTGCTGTCGGGCTCATGTGTTTTCTGTTTTTATATGAGTTTACGTATTAGGTATGTTAATTTTATTTGTTCCAAGTATCTAAAAATTTATGGTATTTTTGAGATGTAGAAATTTTTTTTCATAGTCAAATATACCTATCTTTTTTCATAGGCACTGTCCAAAAAATTGAATGACACTCATAATGAACTTAATGACATAAAACAGAAGGTTCAGGACACTAATTTGGAGGTTAACAAGCTGAAGAATATATTAAAGTCTGAAGTATGTATGTTTTTTTCTTTTTGCTCATTATACTTAGTTTTCACTAGAGTTAATTTAGAATTGAGTATACTCAGAGGGATAGGTGAATCGGATTCTTCTTTAGTTGTGACAATCGTGGATTAACTACATATTTAGAATGGTCCGAAAGATGCCTCAAGAATATGCCCTTCTTGTTTTGTGACTCATCCACTCTAGACAACAGAATCTTCCTGACTGAATGATAGATAAAGGGCCAGAATCAACTTGACCTCACTTATAATTAATTGAAAGTGGTGGGGTTTTCAATTACAAACCTCTGACAAAAGAGGTTCCACCTAATTATGTATCACATCAGAATTGATTACCCTGTTATGGGGCCATCTATTTTTTAGGACCTCAGGACAGATGGTTCTCCTCACACTTCTCTGTTAGCAGTCATTTGACCAGGCACTTGTATGTGAGATCAGATGACGCCAAATAAATGTGGCGCACGTGTGTCAACTCAGGAATAAACAAGCAGCTTGACTGAGGATTTTAGATACGTCTATTAGGTAAAATATTATCTGATACTGAGGGAGGATGTTCCCATTAATGGTTTGAGTGGTATGTTTGTAACACCATACCTATTATAATAATCAATCCACCTACACTATTTTATTTATCATCTTATATCAGTTCACAAATATATCTTGAACATTTATTTACCGTATGCATAATATTCTTAAGGACTTTGACACAGAAGAGATTCTAAGGATTCCTAAATTGCAATCCCTGCTTTTGGGCAGCAAGCAGCCTGTGTAGGAAAAGAATGTGGTTTCCTACACTTCTTGATTTTAAGGTTCCAGCAGTGTAATACCATAAATGAACAGAAGGCTTTTTATTTATGCAGGCTACTCAACCTCTCTGATTCTTCCCATCTGTATATGGGAACAACACCCAAGTAAGTGAGATAATTTAAAACACCGAGCACAGTGAGCCATCTGCATCTATTCTGGAATAGGGCAGAAATAAATAAATGAATATCTAGAGCAACATTTTTTTTTTTGAGACAGGCTCACTGCGTTGCCAGGTTGGAGTGCAGTGGTACAATCTCAGCTCACTGCGACCTTTGCTTCCCAGGTTCAAGTGATTTTCTTGTCTCCTGAGTAGCTGGGATTACAGGCGCATGCCACCATGCCTGGCTAATTTCTGTATTTTTAGTAGAGACTGGGGTTTCACCATGTTGCCCTGGCTGATCTCAAACTCCTGACCTCAAGTGATCTGCCTGCCTTGGCCTCCCAAAGTGCTGGGATTACAGGCATGAGCCACCGTACCCAGCCCAGAGCAACATTTAACATAGTAAGCTTTTAGCCACTGTTTCAAACTTCCTTTTATTTCCCTATTCTGTAAAGTCACATTACCTGAAATTCCACCTTTAGGGATTAGAACTTTTAGATTCTAGAATGATATTTTCAGACATCACTCATCATACTTCTTAGGCTCAAGTGATCCTCTCACTTTGGCTTTCTAAAGTGCTGGGGATTTTAGCATCCTAGTATGAGTTTGTTTATGAGATTGCATAACACCGGGTGAATGCAGGCGCTGAGAGAATGCACCATGGATCCATTTTGATAGGGATAGACCATCAAGAAGTGTGGAGTACTTCATTCACTCATGCATTCATGCAGTGTGCTAGGTGATGGAGTGCCAGAGATGAAAAACGGAGAGGAAACAGAATGGCTCCTGGGCAGTGGGAACAACATGAGCAGAGGTGTAGGGGAAAAAAATAGGTCCAGTAGATAGAGTGTACAAGTAGATGACAGGTAAGAAGGACTTTCTTTGAACCCTATTTTTAGAAGCTTTTGTTAGAACTAAAGCATAGAAGTTATTTAAGGATTGCCTTTTAGGAAGTTTATTTTGGAGATGTCAAGAATAAACCAGAAGGGTAACAAAATCAGAAGTGGAGATAACAGCTAGAAGAGGTTGTAACCATAATTTAGACAAGAAATGCAAAGGATTCCAGCTGAGGCCTATGGAATGTTGCAGTGAGCCTTGTGGGTGGCCAGAGGGAGCTGTGGATACAGGGGAGGCACCATATAGAAGTGCAGAGATCCCGAAAGCAGGAAATAGAGAATACCAAAGAACAGTCTCACTTTCTTTATAGTGTTGCCTCTCAGGCTCAACACTGCTCTGGCCTCTATGGGAGAATATGAAAAGTGGTAAAATAGGTTTCTGTTTGCCAAGAAGGAGGGAGCACTACTGCGTGGTTGGAGTACAGGAGAGACATTCTAAGGAATCATTTTTCACTTTGAACAATGTACTCCCTGGTCACAAAACTAAATTTAATATAAAAAGGGGAGGCTTACTGTCCATGTCATTCAATTAAAACTGCCTTATGGCTTTGTGGTGCTAGGTATGGATGTAAAGCCAGACAAGAAATTATCAGAAGTTGACACTTAAAATATGCAAGTACTCAGAAGCTCCATAGCCAGCACTACACAGTAAATTGGTCAGGAAGAAGGGAATACAAGCAATACAAAAGGTCAGAGGCTCAGAAGCCAGCCCAGCAAGTAGTCAGTAAGCAGACATATGGGAAAAGCAGGCTGTGGAGGACTTTGAACAAAATTAAATATAAAAACAAATTCATTCAGATCTTGAAGCAAAGAGTAATTTACTTAATTTTACTGTTTATTAGTGTTCACTGAGTGTTACTCAGGATCCAGGGCAGATCCTGATTGCTCTGTTTTTGTTAATTACAGGATGACCTGTTTTCTAAACTGAGATTATAGATACATTTCCTCAGGGTTCTATTATAAATGCTTCTCATGGCAAGTGAATTCCCAATGACCTGGAAAATAATGTTTAATTTTTATTATATGTTGAACATTTTAAACGTTTTAAAATAATAGCTAAAGTTTGCTTTTCAGGAATCTGAGAACCGGCAAATGATGGAACAACTACGAAAAGCCAATGAAGATGCTGAAAACTGGGAAAGTAAAGCCCGTCAATCAGAGGCAGATAACAATACCCTAAAATTGGAACTTATCACTGCTGAGGGAGAGGGTAACAGATTAAAAGAAAAAGTAGATTCCCTCAACAGAGAGGTTGAGCAAGTAAGTTTGGGAAAATATCTTATAATACATTCTGCATTATATTTAAAAGAGTTTTGTTTGGCTTCCATCAATTAAATTAAATGTATGAACAAACACTTATTTAAATACACTGAATTGTAGCATGCTAACCATTCTCCTTATACTTTGGGAGGAAGGAAGGGATGAAGGAAGGAAGGAAGGGAAGAAGGGGGGAGGGAGGGAGGGAGGGAGGGAAGGGAAGGAAGGAAATCAAGCAATGAGAGAGACATTGCTGACCTGGATCTAGAGGTTTACAAGTTGATTTCTTTTTTTGAGAGAAGGAAAGAAAAAAAAAAATAAGTAAAGGAGAGGAAGAAAGAGGAAGAGAAAGAGGGAGAGTAAATGGAAATATTGCTTTATTCTGAAAAAAATTGGGTATTAATAATGGCCAATCAATGTTTCATTTAAACTTATGAGTAGGTATTGACAAGAATGTATATTTTGTGTATTTGAAGTGGAGAGCTCTATAAATATTTATTATGTTTACTTGTTCTGGATCTGAGTTCGAGTCCTTGATATCCTTATTAATTTTCTGTCTCATTGAGTCTAAGTCTTTATGTATCTGGGTGTTAGGATCGTTAGCTCTTGTTGTTGCATTGATCCTTTTACCACTGTATCTTTGTTGCTTTAAAATCCATTTTATCCGATACGAGATTTGCAACTCCTTTTTATTTATTTATTATTTATTTTTGCTCTCCATTTGGTTGGTAAATCTTTCTCCATCCCTTTGTTTTGAGTCTTTGTGTATCCTTGCATGTGAAACAGGTCTGGATGTAACATGCTGTTGGGTTTTGGCTGTGTCTTTTGATTGGGGGATTTAGTCAATTTAAATGTAGGGTTACTGCCATTTGATGTTAACTGGCTGTTTTATCCATTTGTTGGTGTAAATTCTTCTTTATGTTGGTGCTCTTTACTTTTTGGTATATTTTTAGAAAGGCTAATACTGGTTGTTTCTTTCTGTGTGTAATGCTTCTTTCCGAAGCTCTTGTAAAGCAGGCCTGGTGGTAATAAAATCTCTGAGTTCTTGCTTGTTCATAAAAGGTTTTATTTTTCCTTCAGTTGTGAAGTTTAGTTTGGCTGGATATGAAATTCTGGGCTGAAGGTTCTGTTCTTTGAGGATGTTGAATATTGGCCCCCACTCTCTTCTGGCCTGTAGAGTTTCTGCCGAGAGATCTGCTGTAAGTCTGATAGGCTTGCCTTTGTGGGTAACCTGACCTTTCTCTCTGGCTGCCTTTAGTATTGTCTCCTTCGTTTCAACCCTGGTGAATCTAACGATTATGTGCCTTGGGGTTGCTCTTCTTGAGGAATATCTTTGTGGTGTTCTCTGTATTACCTGGGGTTGAATATTGAACTGCTTTGCTAGTTTAGGAAAATTTTCCTAAATAATATCCTGAAGGGTATTTTCCAGCTTGGATTCATTCTCTCCATTGCATTCAGGTATACCTATCAAACGTAAATTTGGTCTTTTCACATAGTCCCACATTTCTTGGAGACTTTGCTCATTCCTTTTTATCCTTTTTTCTCTAATATTTTCTTCACATTTTATTTCATTAAGTTGGACTTTGACCTCTGATATCCCTTCTTCTGCTTGAACAATTTTAGTGTTTAAACCTGTGCATACTTCTCGGAGTTCCTGTATTGTATTCTTCAGTTCCATTAATTCACTCATACTCCTCTCTAAGTTGTCTATTCTCATTAGAATTTCATCAAACCTTTTTTCAAAGTTCCTAGTTTTTTTACGTTGGGCTACAACATGTTCTAACTCACCGAAGTTTGTTATTATCCATTCCTTGAAGAGTACTTCTGTCATTGGGATGCACTCGTTCTCCATCAAGCCTTGTTCCATTGTTGATGTGGAACTGTGATCATCTTTAGAGGGGGAGGCGTTCTGACTTTGAGTATTCTCAGCTTTTTTACGCTGGTTTCTTCCCGTCATTGTAAATTTATCCTCCTGTCGTCTTTGAATTTACGAACTTTCAGATTAGGTCTCTTGAGTGGGCGTCCACGTTGTTAGTTCCCAGGGCCAGAGCAGCCTTGTTAAAACTGATGGTGCTTTCCTTCCCAGGATTCTCCTGTCGGGCTTCCTTCTTGTGTCTGTAGTAGGCGACTCTGCCTTCCCGGGGCTCCAAACCTTGGTCAGAAGGGGAACCGGTCCCGTTTACTCTGCGCTGAGCGCTGCCTTACCGAGGTGCCGTCACAGCCGCTGTGCCGGGCTCTGGTGTTGTGCTGGGGGCCCATGCGGGTCCTCTAAACCTGTTTACTCTGCTCCCAGAGCTGCCGCACCGAGGTGCTGGCAGAACCGCTGCGCCGGCCACAAGAGTCGCGCTGGCGACCCATGTGTTTCCTCCACTGGGGATCTTTGCGCCATGAGCAACCAGAATTTGTCTGAAAGTGTGGCGTCCTCTAGTTCTCCATGCCTTCACTGAGAGCTGCAATCCTGGGCTGTTAGCGATCGGCCATCTTGGATCGTTCTCCATACTTTGATTCTTCTATAATTTCTTATCTACCCAACATCCAGAACAATCATTGGCATTTGTTAAAATTAGAAACTATTTCAAACATACCCAAAAAAGTGGTAAAAAAAAAAAAGTAACAAAACAGATAAACATATCCCCACCTCTCACATGTAAGGATACTAACATTTTGCCATATTGGCTTCAAATGTCTCCTTGTTTAAAGAAATAAAACATTACAGGTACAACTTCTCTTATCCTTTTCCCTCCTGCTTCCCTAATTGCTGGTGTGCATAACTTTCCTGTCAGTGTGTGTAAGTAACTCTTTTGCATGTGTTTATAGTTTTGTTTTTTTTTAAATCCCATCACCCACAAATAATGTATAATGTTGTTTTGTATGTTTTGGTTTTTATTTAAGTGATAACATACTTGGAGATGTTCATTTGCAACTTTCCCTCTTTGCTCAATATTACAATTTTGACACATTTATTTTGATATGTATAGTGTACTGCTTTACTCAAACAGTTGCATACATTCATTGTATATATATTTTCTTGTTTAAATTCATTCCCATGTTGAAGGAAATTTATTTTTTTTTTTTCACTTTTTTCTGTGATAAAACACTGCAATGAACCTTTTACATTTCTCCTTGACTACATATTTCCCTAGGTTTATGCCTGGAAATTAATTTTAAAAAGCTATATGCCTGGAATAGATCCAAGATATGTGCAATTTCAACTCTTCTAAGTATTGTCAAATTGCTCTCTAAAGTGTCATTCTCCCATTAGAAGTCATGTGTTATTTTCTCAAACACGAATCAGCATTTGCTATTGTCAGACAATTATTTTCATGCTTTTTGTCTTGTGCTTCCTTGATTACAAGTGAAATTGAGGATCTTTTCATGTTTCTTAGCCATGTAGAATTCTTCCTCTATCAATGTTTTCTTGAGTTTCTCTTGAATGAAAGTTTTGTAAACTTTGCCCATTTTTCAATTGAGTAGCTTATCTTTTTCATATTGATTTTTAAAGGTATTCTCTATATATTCTTGATAATAATCCTTTAAAGATATTACAATTATCTTGTTCTTATCTGTGGCTTGTTTTTTCACTTTCCTTGCAATATAAGCAGACATGTTAAATTCTGATGTACTCGGAATTATTGATCTTTTCCTATATAGTTTTGTACTTTTATGTCTTCTTTAAGAGATCCTTTACAATCCCAAGGCCAGAGAGATATTTTCCTATATTTTCATTTAAAAGTTCTTCTAAATGTTTGAAAGTATGTGAAATCTTGCCCTTTACATTTAGGACTTTAACCTACTTTAGATTGATTTTGTGTAATTTGAAGTAGACATATGATTTTTATTTTTGTGAATAGATATCCATTCTTCTTTCTTCTCTGAAACATAAGTCAAGTCTACTTTGTCATAAAAATAAGTTCCCATACATTCTGTTCCATTGATCTATCCCCTTGCCAGTAATACACTCTTTTAGCTACTCTAATTTTATGTTGAGTCTTGATATCTAGGAGAATTAATGTTCCCTCAAATTGTTTTGACTGGACTTAGTCTTTATTAAACTGTCTTAAATGAATTTTTGAATAAATGTATCACATTTCATGATTTTATGTCTTTTTTCTTTTTTATGCATTTAAGACTGGAAATTTCTGTTTTTTTTGGGTGCAGCCACAAGTTTTGAGGTAATGCTTTCATTGCCATTCAGGTTTTTATATCATCTAGTTTCATTATGATTTATTTTTAATTACTAAAGTTTTTTGTTTGTTTGAGACAGAGTCTCACTCTGTTCCCAGGCTGGAGTGCGGTGGTACAATTATAGCTCACCACAGCCTCCAGTTCCTGGGCACAAGTGATCCATCTGTCTCAGCCTCCAAGTGGCTAACACTACAAGTGTAAGCCACCACACCCAACTAACTTTCAATTTTTTTTTTTTTTTTTGTAGCAGTGGAGTCTTACTATATTGCCCAGGCTGGTCTTGAACTCCTGGCCTCAAGTGATCCTCCCACCTCAAACTCCCAAAGTGCTGGGATTAGAGGCATGAGCCACCGCACTTGGCTTGAAGTTTTAAGAAACTTTCCAATATACAGGAGACTTGAGGTTTCTGTTTTTAGTTTGTTGTGTCTAATATCTTATTGTCTAATATTTCTAATGTTGTGATCAGAAAAAATGGCTTGTGACATTAATTCTTTGCTATCTGCTATGAATTGCTTAGTAGCAGAGTATGTAATAAATATTTGATAATATCCTACATGAGCTTGAAAAGCATCTGTGCTCACTTCTTGGTGGAAGCATATATATGTGTTATATAGTATATATATTTACATATTAGATTATGCTTGTTAATAGTGTCAGTCAAGTCTTATACATCCTTACTAAATTTGTATTCTTGATCTCTCATTATTGAAAGACATGTTGAGGTCTTCCTCTGTAATTGTGGACTTTTTTATTTTCCTCTGAATGATTTTCTCACAGTTCTGGAGATTGGAAGTCTAAGATTGCAGTGCCAGAAGGTA